TCCTCACATCTACACAAATAGTTGCTGTAAGAAAGCAGTATTTCAGAATGGTGTCTGAAATACCAGATAATAGGGCAGAAGCTGCCGGAAGAAGAAGCGCTACATCTTGCAGATGTTTTCCTCTTTTTCTGGAGATCAGCCTTTTAAAATCTTTGAATACATCCTTAGGCTTTCTATCTTAACAGCCAGGATATGAAGGCCCCGAAAGGTTTACGAGAATTTAACTATTTCTCATAAGTGTAGCATCAAATTTTTGTCCTGCTTGCTTCTTCCACTGTCAGTAGAGAGTTCCCATGGACTGGTTCTTGTTTTGACATAATTACCCAAGCGAGTGCTTCACTGCATGTGTTATCAAATGAACTGGAGTAAAAAGGCTAACTGGGAAAAGTAAGACAGTAAGTCAAGGGGTATTTTATTTTGGCTAAACCTGTGCCGTTTACTTCATGCCGTTCATAGGAAGCAGTTCAGGAGATGCGTTTCCAAAGAAAGAAGAATGTAGAAAGTCATGCACACATGCTTTGAACAAAGCATGAACACAAACAAAGCAATCTTGGTTTATCCTCCAGAACTTAGTTCACACCTTACGTTTCATTAAGATATTGATGCACACATAGGGGTGGACGTTGTCACCAAAGAGATTAATGGAAATCATGACGCAAGTATATTCAGAGTCTGCTATCTTAAGTTTTTAAGACTCGGTGGTATCTTCCCGGAAATCCTATCACCCACCATCAAAAAACCAGAACCCAGAAGCATTGCACCTCACTGCTCCGTGGCTCTCTAGCTGTGCAATTCCTATTGGCCGTATCTAGATTTTTTTTCATTTTTACTTGCTTTTATCATTGAATAATCAATAAGCAAAGTAATGCTTGAATTTTTAAAGAAACTGATTTTTTTTAATAACTTTCTCAAGTAATTCAAGCACCTAAAGGTTGCAAATCTTACGACAAAAGTGAGAGGCTTTTCCTGGCGTTCTCCTGGTAAACATCAGCAGACAGCCAGGTGGAGAGGTGGGAAATGGAACTAGCCCATGGGAAGGAAAAGGAATGTTACAAAGGGAGACTGTAATCTGAAAATGAAATAGTACTTTGGACAGAGTCAATAAATCAAAGAACTGACTCTTTATGCGAATACCCACAAAATTAGGGGTGTTTAATTTATTGTATCATCTATCCACTGTTCCTCATAATCTGTGCTTCAAGTTAGCATTCCCCTGTTTTGAGGTGAATTACTTAGAAACTAAAAATGAAAAAAACTCTATTTCGGACAAAGAAATTTGAGGAGGTGGGGGTCTTGCAGGTTGTTTCTTTAAGTATGTTTTTGTTTGTTTAGTCTGAGGAATGTATCCTTGATTACACACCTTGTGTACTGTTTCTCAGTTCGATTCTGAAGATCATCTTAGTGGCAGCCCTCTGATGCTAGGATTTTACACCTTTTTGTGTCTTTGGAGACACTGAGCTTTGCTCTCAGCACTTTAAATGCAGTTCTCAAAGAAATTCCAGTTCCTGGAAAATCACCATTTCCTAGGGAACCAGGAACTTGCTTCATTTCCTGTTCTGAAGTATTTACAGGCATCATCTTGGCCCAGAGAAGGAATAGACTAACAGCTTGTCTGGCAGCCAAGGTGTTAGTTGATTTTGATCTTGGATAAAAGGCAGAGTTTTATCCTTAAGGGAAGGAGTAACTGAAGGGTTTTCGGAAGGAAAAAAGGGAGGAACGTGGCTTCAGCGTCTTGGCAGCTGGGCTAGAAACATAGTGAATCTTAAAATGGTATATTAGAATAATGAGGAAGAGATTAATAAAATTTCAGGTTACAACTTTGCTTACTTGTTTATCAAGACTGGCCATGTCTTTTGTCCCTTTTTGTTTAACTTAGATTGCTTTAAAAGGGCAGCAGTAATTCTGGGTCCCCCATATAGAAGAAACCATTCCATTCTCATGCTCTGGTATGAGCATGTTCCTTCTGCATACACTTGAAAGACAGTTGCAACTTTATGCAGAGTGCTCTCTGTGGATAAATTTATGATCTTAGCTCTGCAGACCTCTGAATTCTTTTGAGGCATCTTCCCGTTTCAGAATTAGCCTAACCGAGTTTCTCAGTAAAGGACAAATTTATCTCCTCTGCTACGCTGTTTTGCTCTTAAACATACTTGGATAAAATACTGTGTAAGTGGGCCTTTACTTAATTCATTGCTATTGCTAAATGTTAATTAAACTCCAGTATATGTAATTAGAGGAAGTTTTAGACTAGGAAGACTTTCTAGTTCTTTTTGAGTGTATATAATAACTGTAAAAAGACACCTATGGACAGATGTACAATCAGACTGCAAAATAATTAGTATCTCAAATCATGAAAAAAAATCATGTGTCAGTTAAGGCTTTGTTTCTGTGGTTTTACATGGATTTGACATGCTTTGGTCTCTGGAATCTCTTCCATTTAATTCTTATAAGAACTTTCTTTGTAATTTTGATACTATGTATGTATGTATTTTTGTATTGATTAGATAACTTTCTTTGTAATTGTGGCCCTTTCACAGGATCTTGAAATCCTTCAGGCAGAGGGTAGACTAAAATCCAGAACTGTGCAGAACTGTGCATAAGTGTGATAATCATCTTGCTTTGGTATAGAAAGGCATCTACTGCCATGTGTGCTGAACGCGATGGGTTAGCTTCTGACTATATTGCAAGAGAGTTGAGCTGTACTGATTACTTGTCTAGTCTCTTTTCTTAAATCTTTGTGTTCATTTTATCCCAATTACTAGTTTTAAATGCATGAGGGCTAGAAAATTGCTTTTGAATAAATGAATTTTAAATTTTTTTAATTAAACAAACACACAATAAAACCAGAATTACCATCATTATGAAACAATCTTATGCCTGATAAGTATGGATTATAACCATATGCTTTACAAAAGTAGTGAAGTCTTGATAATGAGCATTTACCATGATAGGCTAATATATATTGTCCATTAAGTAAAGGAATTATGAGTTAATTAAGAGATTAAATTCATCAGTTGCAATGGTATACTCGTATTTTCTAGAGAATCACATGCTGAGTTCGGCTCTGCAGAAGGACTTGGTGTAATGAAAAGGAGTTAATAAGTTAGACAAAGCAACAAAACCATTAAGTGGACCATGTAAACAATTTTCAAAACTATTACATATTTATTTGAAGGTATTATGTGAAATGTCTGTGTATTCCAGTATCCTTGAGAAATTTTCCTCAGTTGCCTTTCTTAAAGTCCATAATGACTTACAGGTAGCCAGTGTTGATGAATACATGTGTCTTACAGATTTTTGTCAAGCAAAGGGATTATGCCATTTTAATAAATTGCTTCTTTCTGAGGAACAGTTAGTGCTGCCCGTGTTGATAATGATATGCATAGAAATATGTATTTAAACATATATGCATTCTGATTAGTTTTTCTTAGCATTTTTACAGCTGGATTCAACAGTCAGCAAGTAGTTTCTCTCCAGAGCTCAAGATAATGAGCTAAGAGGAGGAGGAAGTGAACTACTGAGGTTATAGGATGCATCCCCGTCGGCAAGTGGCTTCCAACAGACCCTCTGTTAGTCACACCATGGTTCTCTGATGGCCTATGTTAACTGATACTGGAGACAGAACATTGAGCTATATAAGAAGAATGTTTTCCAGTCCTTTAGTGCCGATACAAAGCCAGGAGGATAGACAGGACGTTTCTTAAATGGGCATTTTCTAACAATAACACTTATTTAGTTAAGTATCTTTTCACATTGAATACTGGCTTTGGCCTGATAATTACTGAACAATGAAAGTACGTTTAAAAACAGCTCTGTCACAACAATACAAAGCATACCTGTGCGTGGTTATGAAGGAGAATTAAAAAGTGTCTGTGCTTTCTGTAACTGAATTTTTTTAGATCTCTACAAGTGATTCCCCTGCACAGCTATGCATATTATTGAAATTTCTGTGGAAAAAGGCAAATGTCATAGTGGGATTTAAATGTAAAAATATACTCAAAGTTAGTTTTTCTTTTTACACAGCATTTGTAAAGTTTCAGTTTTGAGTTACCTGTTTAGTTTAAGAATTGGAAGAAAAAAATCCCAATAATAGAGGCCAGTGGCGAACAAAAAGAACAGGATCTGGAAAATGCTACCTGTGACGGGAACGAAAACCCTAAAGATCTGGTGTTGGTTAAGCTAAAAAGGAGAAGATTGAAAGGAGATAATGGTCTCAGAGTAAAGTGCTGTTGCAAAGAGGTGAATAGAACCACATGTAGTTCATTCAGATTGCATCAAGAAAGATTCAGATTATGCAGTAGGAAACATGTAACAGTGAAAATTGTGAATGACTGGAATAAATTACAGTGGAGGTTGTAGAATCTCTGTTATGGGAGGTCTTTAAAGTAGTAAAGTAGGTGAGGCACCTGTCAGGAGTAGTGTAGATACAGCAGATCCTTCATTAGAGTTGCTGAAAAAAAGCATTGTGAACACTGGGAGACACTTATTCCATAATTCTTATAAAGCAATTTAATTTATAGCAAACAGTGCAACAGTCTTAAACTGTTAGTAGAAAAACATTTGTTACCGTCTTCAAGAAGGCTCATCAGGTTGGTAATGCAAATGTCAAGGAAAATCTAGACTTAGGAGAAATTGCAAGTGCCTCACGTTATTTTCATGAAAGTCTAGATATCTTGCTGTAATCATAGTGTATGTGGGAGAGGCTAGGAGGGAGTGTAAGAGAGGGGACAGGAAGAAAGTCACTGAAGAGAAATTTGTACCTGGAATGACTAGGTCACAGTCTGCAAAGTTGATGGATTACTATAGCTCTTGGTGTAATAATTTGACTGTACACTTGCACTGGAACACTGTTCTGTAATGTATAATTTCTGAAAATATTACTTCAGAAGTGAAAAACACCTTTTTGCATGGCATATGTGAACATAGACTTATTTTGTGTAAGACTGTGCTATTAGAGCTTAAAATACTGAGATGATGACTTTCTGCTTATTTTACAGATTTGCTTACAATCAAATACATGACCATGGGGGATATGAAGACCCCAGATTTCGATGACCTTCTTGCAGCCTTTGACATACCAGACATGGTTGATCCAAAAGCAGCTATTGAATCTGGACATGATGACCATGAAAGCCACATAAAACAAAATGCTCACACAGATGAAGATTCTCACGCCCCATCATCATCTGATGTTGGTGTGAGTGTCATTGTGAAAAATGTGCGTACTATTGATTCTTCCGAAGGAGTGGACAAGGATGGCCACCATTCCACAGGCAATGGCTTGCATAATGGCTTTCTAACATCATCAGCTCTTGATAGTTACAGTAAAGATGAAGGGAAGTCACTTAAAGATGATGGGTCAGCTTCTGAGACTACACTGAAGGATTCAGCTTTCAACCAGTTTAGCCCAATATCAAGTGCTGAAGAATTTGATGATGATGAAAAAATTGAGGTGGATGACCCTCCGGATAAAGAGGAGATGCGTGCAAATTTCAGAGCAAATGTCTTGGCAGGATCTGTATCTCAGCAGAAAGGCACTTGGAGGGGAGAACTTGATTAAATCTGGAATCCCAGTTTCAACTAGTATAGATAAAAATAAAGTTGCTAAACGAGAGACAGAGACAAACTCCATGCATTTAAGTGTCTATGAGCCTTTTAAAGCTCGAAAAACAGAGGACAAATTGCTAAAAGACAATTCTGAGAAGCTTCTTGAAAACAGGGTACTTGATGGAAAACTGAGTCTTGAAAAAAGTGAAACAAATCTTGCCAGCATTTCACAGTCCAAAGCAAAGTCATCAGCAAAGCTTTCTTCATGCATTGCTGCAATTGCAGCACTGAGTGCTAAAAAGGCAGCTACAGATACCAGTAAAGATTTACAGTCTAATTCAGGAGAACCTTCTCCATTACCAAAAGACATGAGTGAAAGTCCCCGGGCTATTGAAAAATCACCTGAATCTCAGAGTCTCATTGATGGTGCTAAAAAGCCATCTGTCAAACCACCTGATAGTCCCAGAAGTGTATCAAGTGAAAACAGTAGCAAAGGGTCTCCATCTTCTCCTGCAGGGTCAACACCAGCAATTCCTAAAGTTCGCATAAAAACCATCAAGACTTCTTCTGGGGAGATCAAGAGAACTGTTACTAGAGTGTTGCCAGAAGTTGATTTGGACTCTGGTAAAAAGCCAGAGCAGACTGCTTCTATGGTAACTTCCATGACGTCTCTCCTGTCCTCACCAACTTCTGCTGCTGTTCTTTCCTCTCCTCCTAGAGCTCCTCTCCAGTCCACAGTTGTCACCAATGCAGTTGCATCTGCAGAACTTGCACCAAAACAGGTCACTATCAAACCTGTGGCTACTGCCTTTCTCCCTGTTTCAGCAGTTAAAACAGCAGGTTCACAAGTTATTAATTTGAAGCTTGCTAACAATACTACAGTGAAAGCCACTGTAATATCTGCTGCTTCAGTGCAGAGTGCCAGTAGCGCCATTATAAAAGCTGCCAATGCTATACAACAGCAGACTGTTGTGGTGCCAGCATCAAGCCTTGCCAGTGCTAAACTTGTGCCAAAGACAGTCCATCTTGCCAACCTTAATCTTCTGCCTCAAGGTGCTCAAACCACCTCTGAACTCCGCCAAGTGCTAACGAAACCTCAGCAACAAATAAAGCAGGCAATAATTTCTGCAGCAGCCTCACAGCCTTCTAAAAAGGTGTCTCGAGTCCAGGTGGTGTCATCTCTACAAAGTTCTGTAGTGGAAGCATTCAATAAGGTGCTGAGTAGTGTCAATCCTGTACCAGTTTACATCCCAAACCTCAGTCCCCCTGCCAATGCCGGAATAACGTTACCAACGCGAGGCTACAAGTGTTTGGAGTGCGGGGACTCATTTGCTCTCGAGAAGAGCCTGACCCAGCATTATGACAGGAGGAGTGTGCGAATTGAAGTGACATGTAATCATTGCACAAAGAATTTAGTTTTCTACAATAAATGCAGTCTTCTTTCCCACGCTCGTGGACACAAGGAAAAAGGAGTTGTAATGCAGTGTTCACACCTGATTTTAAAACCAGTCCCAGCAGATCAAATGATAGCATCTCCTTCAAGCAATACTGCTACGTCTATGCTTCAAAGCCCTGTGGGAGTTGGCACGCATACTGTAACAAAGATACAGTCTGGCATAACTGGGACAGTAATATCAGCCCCAGCAAGTACACCTGTCATTCCAGCTATGCCACTAGACGAAGATCCATCGAAACTCTGTAGACATAGTCTAAAGTGTTTGGAGTGTAATGAAGTTTTCCAAGATGAGACATCTCTTGCAACTCATTTCCAGCAGGCTGCAGACACAAGTGGACAAGTAGAGTATCATATGTTTAAATTCCAATGTTTCATCTATAAGCCTAGGAGGCTTTGGATATGTTTTACTTTCATTTAGCTGTTAATTATCTGAACCTCCGTGATTAAAAGTATAAATGAAAACCACAAAAAATCTTGCAAGCACTTACATAGTGAATGTCAACATTTTTTAAATAAGAGTTTTCTTAGAATTTTTTTAGGCCCTGAAGTCTGAAATTTACATTGTATATTTTTACTAAAATTTAGCATTAGCTTTCGTACAGCTGAACATTATAATACTGAAATTAATAATGGTCTTTACTAAGAATTTTTAATGATTCTGTGCTTTGGAATTTGAATATCCTGTGGAATCCACTTAATTGGCACCCTCATTAACAGTCTGCTATTCAATCTGAATTGTTACGTTTAAGTGATTCATTCTTGATTTGTCTTCAGTTTTTACTATTTTCATATAGCACCATAAGTGAGCTAGGCATTCCTCTTATCTACAGGGACTCTAGGCAATGAATAAATGGCACACTGATTCTATTGAAAGGATATGCATGCTGTTTTCTTCAGGTCTTTCTTAAACAGAAGTGAAAAGTGGTGTTCACTAGCGTGCATTTCTTGCTGTGTGACCATTTGTTTGTTTGTGTTGGTTTTCCTTTCCTCTTACGATTGCTAATGAGTTAAACTTACAAACGATTTTAAAATTCTTTACTAATGTATGTGGCCTAATCTGAAAGACACACGTCATTCAATAAAAGGTACTATTAATCAGTGTGCGATGTATTTTATAATCCTGTAAGAGTTGAGATCATTAATTAAATGATATAGTTGGATTTCTGTTGGGGTGTGCCAATTAAAAGGGATTCTGGTATGTTTCAAAGCGTTCAGTTGAGCTTGGTGTTGCAGCTTATTGCTATGTGGGAAGCTGAAAACCTGCAAACATGCTCAGACTGATAAAGACAGGAATG